ATTTCATTTACTCTCTCCTCTACATGATCGAATATACTTTTAAATCCCTTCATTGTATGTTTCATTTCAGATACTATATTCTTCAAGTCTGACTGGCTCCTTTTCAGGTTGTCTGTCTTTTTGTTGAAATCCTCCCTGGAATCTTGAATACTTTATTGTAAATTCATGAGCATGTTTATGACTTTTATTTTGAAATCTTTATCTAGAAGACTGGTGATCTCTGTTTCATTTAGCCCTCTTTCTTGGGTTCTGTCTTGTAGTTTTGATTGGATCAATTTCCTCTGGCTGCTCACTTTGTCACAGATTCTGTATTTCTTCCTTTGTGTTAGATGTCTCTGATATGGTTTCTGGTCCTTTTCTGTGTGGTCCTCTCTTCTTTAGGTGTAGGGCATCTGTTCTGCAGTCTTCAGGTAGCTTTCAGGTCTAGTTGCATTTGCTGTATTTTCCTCTTTTATGTGTTTTTGGGAGGAGGTTTCCATCTCGCCTTCCTATCCTGTCACTTTAAATCTGATAATCCTTTACATGGCAACTATTTAGAAATATAATTTTCTTATTTTGATTTTAAGAACATAATGTCAGTTGATATTTTTCCTCACTTTTATGCACTACATTACAATGAACTTCCAAAATTCTAAGAAAATGTCTTTAGGTCCTGTAATTAACAGCAGAGGGTCTCCTTTCCCCTGGTCCCTGCACCTCCATTTATTGGTGTTCTTCTAAGTAATGGCACAGGCTTCTAAAAATATGTCATTAAAAGTGATTCTTATTCAACCCTGACTTTCCCAAGTTCATCTTCTCCCTTTAGAATTTTTCAAACTATTGGACAAAATGTTTCCATTTATGGGTGAAATATTAAATATACAGCCCATTTGTGTTATTACCAGCAGCATTTTTTAAAAGTGTGGACTATGGACCACTTGTCCCAGAGTTACTTAGGGTGCTTGTTAAAAAATACAGATTGCTTGGTTCTCTCCAGATTTACCCAATTGGAATCTCCATTGACATGACCTAGGAATATGCATTTTAAACAAGTAACTTGGATTATTCTGATGCATGCTAAAATTTGAGGTCTGCTGGAAGGATGTATTAGAAGCTTATTTGAAGGAGATATAGAGTGTATGGAAATAGCATTTTAAGACATCAACCCATTGAGTTAAGAAGGGACAGCTTTTTCATTTTAAAATGAAAAAGTAGGACTTTTTCAAGCTCCTTCCAGCCCTAAAATCCTGAGATTATTTTTTCCTTCATATATGCTCTGAACATTGTGTTGTATTCAGCCTTCTGAGGATGTTCTACTTTGGCTTTTCAAACTTACTGTAAGTGCTTCTTTTGATGACTTAAGAAAACATGGATTAATTTTTTAAATCAAATCCTCAGCATTTAAAACGTTTTAGATGGAAATCAAAGATGGAGTTTTTACACTATACTTGAATTGTTCTTTTCTTCAAGGTGTTGGCATTTCACAGTCAATCTGAGCAGCTAACTGGGATGGGAGGAGGGAAGAAATACCATTTACTTAAATGTACATTTTGGGTTACAGAGTTTTAAAACATTAGAAATTAACATCAAGGCTTTTATTGAAACTTTCAAGGGGTGATATTAATGAAGGAAATCATTTTCTATGATCAGTAAAGACTTAGGGCAATATTAATATTGGTTCAAGTAAAAGTCAATACTCTTGTTTCATTAAGGTCATTTTAGCAATTAAAGTCATCATTAAATATTTCTCAAAGATGAAGTTAAGAAAACAATGTGCCTACAGATATTTTAGTAAAAGCTTATTAAACCAAGGTGTAACATTTCATAAAAAATACTTGATTTTTACTTGGAAGATGGCTCAGAGAAACAAACTAATAAATGCTTTTCATATTGCTGAGTCAAAAATCAAACTGCTTTACAAAAATTATATTTCTTTCTTTGTTACGTAGAAGCACAATTTGTTGTGTCTTAGTCTGTGAGTGACTTGACTACCTAAATTAAATTCTAAGAAAACAATCTGCAGAGTGTTTTTTAAAGAACAAATACAAAACAAATCGTTTTTCCTGGAGATAAATATGCCAAATGAAAATTATAGGGTGAGTGACTTGAAGAGGATGACCCAGTTCTGATTAATTCAGTCTTTTGATATTCTTTCTTGTTGAATTAACGTATCCCTTCTTTAATACAAAGAACTAGTACATTTTTCTTATGGTTCTACTCAAAGAACAAGAGGGGGTTGTGTATTTTCTTTTGACGTTCACTTTGAGACCCACTATTGAACACCCACTTCTTTTTTCCCCAATGTCTGAATATATATATATATTTGTCACAGGGACTCATGCACACACAATATTAATGCTGAAAACAGATAAGCAACTTCAAGTCACTACTTGAGGAGAGAGCAGATGGAGGTGATTGTCAGATTAATAGTAACTGTCACCAGTCAGTGTGCTCCCATTATGGCAAGATAACTCGCAGAGAAAATTGTTTGGCTCACAAAGAAAACAATATTGAAGCTGATACAAATATGTAGAATTATAAAAGTTTTAAACTAACACAGTCTAAAAATGACCATAGGAAATGAAAAACAGCATTGCAGTTTGAGGATAAATTACTGAAAGGAATGCTGTTTTAACACACAGATAAAGTTCTCAAAATTTTAGTGTTATTACATTTGGAGCATACAGTTATATATGCAAAGGTCATACGGAGTTAGGTACAACTAACTCTACTTATGTATGACCTTCCTAAAGGAAGAAACTGAGTTGAAGAAGGCAGCTTCATTGGAATTTTGTTAAGGCAAGTTTTTCTTTTTTCTTTTCATTTCTTCTTACTTACCTCCTTCCCTGTTCCTTCCTTCCTTTCTGTCCCTCCTCACTGAAGCTATTCAGAAAGGAGATGGCAACATGAAGATAATTATCTTTCTGAAACTGGAGATATTTTATCATATTTAGGGAATCTAAATGGGATATTGAAAGCAGATCTTGTTTTCTGTTTTAAAATAATTTTTGCAAAAGGATTGTTAGAGTTCTCTTGGATAGCAGAGGAAAACAGATTAGAAAAAATTTATATATATTACAGCTTACCTTTCACTTGAAGAGATTTCATGTCTACTTCACAGGATTTTTTTTTTTGAGAGGGCATCTCTCATATTTATTGATCAAATGGCTGTTAACAACAATAAATTTCTGTATAGGGGAGTCAATGCTCAATGCACAATCATTAATCCACCCCCAGCCTAATTCTCGTCAGTCTCCAATCTTCTGAAGCATAACGTACTTCACAGGATTTTATAATAATATATTGCCAAAAATGTTTTGTGCAATTTATAGAAACATTATGATAGTATAGCTTGTATGAACCAACAGAACGCTGATAAGGATTAAAAACAGGGGATGTAAAGGCATATTTGAAGAATGAGAGAATGATGATCCTTCTGACAAGGAGTCAAATATTTGATTCACTGTATCTTTTAATTCAACAAGCATTGATTTTTTTGGCCTGGAAGATCCATCAGGAAAGTGAGTTTGAGCAGGGGTACAAGTTAGAGGTTTGATATGCCATTTTAACTTTTGACTTGTCTTTCAAGAAAGAATATGCCAGGCAAATATTTGCACATTGCACTGAAAGGAAATAAAACATGCATTATAAGTGAGTTACTTAGCTGACCTTATGTTGTTTGTTTAGAACTTCCCTTTCATTGTTTCATTGCCTGCAAATGCTTTTCCTTTGCATCTACCAATGAGCAATCTTGTCAGGAGCCGCCTATGAGTAGCTCCAGTTTGGCTCTTACGCTCCTTGTGGATGAGGCTAGCACCTCCCCTCTCTTCACAGGACAGTGTGGTCGGCATCCCCCAAAGACCAAGACACACATTTAATCCAAACTTTTCTTCAGAGGAATACTTCATGAACTGCCTCTAATTTTTCAGTGTTTTAATGTAAAAAGGATTAGGGTATAAAGGTTCTCCAAGAGAATTTAACATTTTGTGTTTTCATTTCTATGGTTGTTGAAATACATCATTAATGTAAACATAATCAGAAAGGGTCTTATATCAGAACTCTGACAGGCAATTTTAGATTTTGTCATTTGCGATCATGATTTGTTTTTGGCACCAGGTTAGCCATCCCAAAGCACATATCAGTGTGGTCACACAAACCGAAAAGAATCTAGCAGCGAATGCCCTATGCACAACATGAGCACTGATTTAGTTTCTCTGAAACATCATCACTTTGTTAATTTAATATCATTAATTTGAACTTTATTGGCTTTATATTTTCAGTTTGTATACATGTTAGTGTTCTACAGTTATATAAAACTCTAAGCATAAGGAAAGTTATTCCTAGTTTTATGTGGGTCTACATATAAATATGTGATGCAATATAATAAAAATAAATTTTTAGGCAATTTGATAATGTAATAAAATCAAAAAGCCTTTAGAAGGGTTTGTCCTTTTGTCATGTCAAAGATAAATACAGCAGACATTACTTAAAGAGGTGAGAACAGTATATTCAGTAACTACTGATACGAGGGGAAAGAGCAGAGTCAGGGAAGTGAAAAATTACAAAAATCAGGAAAGGGGTTAGTCCATGTGTATCCACATGGTTTGCTAACTGGCACTTATCAAAGTTAGGCTACTGTGCTGCGGGATACTGGGAGAAAGGGGCCCTATATTAAGGTGTGGCCTGGAAAAATCAATTCTTCTGGCAGCTTCGAGTGTCCTCAGGCTGGTACTTTAAGGGGACTAGGGTCATCCTAGGGAGGAAATCTGAGCTGTTAGAAATATGTTAGTATTTGTTCAAGTCTCTGCAGGCCAAGGTTGAGGCCTAGTCTAGAATTTGAGCCTGGCTGGAATTTGGTCAAGGAGAGAATCTTTGCCAATGCAATGATAGTTGCAGAATGGCAGTCTGCCCTCACTTTCTTAAGATAAGCAGTGATTGCTATTTGTTAACTATTGTTGAGAGCTTGATTTTAAAATCTAAACTGAAAAAAAAAAAAGAAAAATTATGCTATTTTGTTTCAGGGCTGAGATCTGGACTATAAAATTCAGGAATTTAAAGAAGCAGGAAAAACCTTTCCAGAAAGTCAAATAATAGAATGGTTTATCCAGTTGTTACTGGGGTTGACTATATGCATGAAAGGTATGTTACTGAAGGACAGGACTTTTTTTTTTAAAGTCATGTCTTATTTGGAAAAATTAATTTTAGGGGGGTAGAAGTGAAGGGAAGCAAGTCTAAAAAAATAAATGACTATAATTAAACACATAATATACTTTTTCATGAGGAAACTGTTGAATGATTATATCTAGATTTACTTAAATAGTTTTTTGTTGTTCTGGAAATCAACTTGGCCTTGAATACAAGACAGGAACTTGTATTAAACACTCTTTCTTATATCTGATCATATCCTGTGAACTACAAGCAATTCTCAGATACCTTTAGCATACTATGAATTTATAATATCTTCAGCAAGCTTGAGCTGTAAATACTCCAGCATGCTACAGATGAATTGCATAGTCACCTTGGAATGTACCGTACACATTTAGCTGTGTTCATATCCCAAGATGAGATGAGTAATTGAGGCAAATGATATTCTTTGGTCTCACAGAGATAAGGACTCAGACCAAACGTCAGTTTTGATGCAAAATATCTGATAAAGAAAGTCAATGTATGTTTAATGAGTTCAATTATAATTTGCATTTATAATCTCTAGTCAAAAGGAATTTCTTTTTCTATAATTTCTATAGATAAAAAATAAGAAGTTTTACATGTTAAATGTTTTAGACCATAAAATAGTATGGACACATTTGAAAAGATGAATATACATAGACAAATAAAAGTAGATACTCCAAGATGTCTGTGTCAGCTTTCAGTGCAGGAGTGGGCAAAACATGTGGAAACATTCTTCTTAAACAAAAGTGGAAACTTACAGGGTACATCAAGATTTCATGGATGTCAGATAGGTTAAATGTGCCATCTCTGGTTTCTAATCACATGAACAAGTAACTAGATTTTCTGTGCTTTGCTGTGTATCTTCTGAAACACATGCTGGGAGACACAGATAGCCACTGTCTTGACTATTCATAGCAATCTTTGGAATAATGTCAAACTAAGAGAGTGATAAAATATTCTATGAGACATTGATAAAATAATATTAAATAATCTTTCAGTAAACTACCCAAAGCTGCTGAATGTTGGACAACTGTGCATATATAGTTATATTGGTATTTCTTTTATTTTCTTTACTATTCCAGTGCATATTTGTTAGATTATACATAAGGAAAACAACATATATAAAGACACCAAGTGTTCTATATGCAAAGTAAAAACCTGAAGTCTGGTTGTTTTAGGGACCCAAATATTTTTAATATATTTGGGTCTGCTTAGCAATAGTTAAAATAAATGAGTTTAAAATAGTCCTACATGGGGGAGAGGTTGAGGTAGGTAAGGGGGATAAAGAGGAACAAAATCTCAATTATAATATAAGTTGGTCACAGCTATAGAAGTGTAGCATGGAGAATATAGCCAATGGTTATATTCTTTTTTGTATGTTGACAGACAGTAATTGTATTAGTGGGGGTGAGGATTTAATAATGTGGGTAAATGATGAATTACTGTGTTATATACCCAAAACCAATATAATATTGTATACCAACTATACTTCAATTTAAAAAATTAAACAAATAATAGAATAAAATAATTATACAAAGGATTTAAATTTTTTTAAATCCTTCAATATTCTAAAAGACTTATTAAATGGGACTAAATGTTTGGAATTTTGTGGATCTATGAATTGAGACACCATCCTTTGTGATTCAGAGAACAAATGATGGTGCTTCTTATTCATTATGTTATTATAACCAATTATTGTAGAGTCTTTCTGTATAGACAGAGAAATTTCAGTTTTATATTTAAGTTCATTTACTTATTAAATAGTGATTAGTTAAATGTAAGGCCTAACCTCAAAGAGCTCTTAGTAAACTAATAGAGATAAAACAGGTACTACCCAAATAACTACAAATCATATAGCATGGTAGATATACAGGATTTCAGGTCTCTACCACATACTGTATTGTGACCCTGGGCAAGCTGCTTAACCTCTTAGAGACTTTGTTTCTTCTTTCATTAAATAGGGATAATAATGGGACTCTTTTGCTTATTTATAGCTCTGTAAGAAATATGCATTGAGATATTACACATTTTAAAGTTCAAACTGTTAAGTCCTATGTAAATTGTGGTATAATTCAATGTAGAAATGAGGGCATAGTCGCCAGAAAGGCTAAAAAAACTCTTGACAATAACAAGTGTAGCCAAGGATGAAGAGCTACTGGAAATCTCTTACATTGCTATTAGGGTGTAAATTGGTATAACCACTTTGGAAAAATGTTTGATAATATCTCCAAAGCCAAATATTCAAATATCCTGTGACCCAATGATTCTATTCCTCAGATGAAAAATGAGCCTTATCTTCAATGAAAGAAATGTATAAGAACTTCCATAGAAGCCTTATTTGTAATACCCAGAACACTGAGAAATGCCTATAGTAGATTGGTTAAATAAACTGTGGCATAGTCATACAATAGAATACTACTATGCAATAAAAAAAGAACAAACACTGGTTATGTATGACCTGGATGAATCTCAGAAGCATGATGCCAGGTCAAAGAAACCAGATGCAACAGAATGTATACTATATGACTATTTATATGAAGTTTAAAAACAAGCAAAACTAATCTATTAGATTAACTAAACTAATCTCAGAATAGAGATTACTCTTGGGAGGGGGTTTTGCCTGGAAGAGGTACAAAGAAACCTTCTTGGATGCTAGAAATGTTGTATATCTTGATCTACATGGAGGATTACAAGGTGATCTAAAGAGCTTTGTAAATTTAGGGAACAAATGAGCAAAGGCACAAAGCTGGGAAGATATGGCACTTCTAGTGTGAATGATGAGTGATTCAGTTGGGAAAGTTCTTAGGATACATGAACGAAGTTATAAGGAAGGGTAGGCTGAGATCAGGTTGCAGAAAGCTTTACTTTGTAGTAGAGACATTGATGCCACAGAAGCTTTTTGAGCAACACTAGACTATGACCAGAGCATCAGGTGATAACTTATGCAGAGGTTATCAGTCTGGTGCCATGTGTGAGGCTGTGAGACTTAAACAGCGTGGCAACATTGGACAGGATGTGGAAGGATGTGGGTAAGCTTGAGCTGAGATGACTGGACTTGAAGTTAAGTGAGTATGTGAGCTGTGGTAGGAGAGGGTCCTGAATGAACCCAGGGTTTATCTCCGAAGGGCAAGAGAGAAGTTGGAAAGACAGGTCAGAAACAGTGGACTGAGTTTAATTGTGAGCATGTTTGCTGGGATATGGGGAGAGGATGAGAGAGAAGGAAGTTAGAAGTGAGGCCTGAGATTGTGAGAAAAAGCAAAGACTTGTCTATTTGGGTTCTTCCAATATCAGAGCCTTGAACCAAAAACTGGGGTACAAGAGTCTTATCTAGAAGGAGGTAGATGCCAGGCAGCAGCCAGTGCGTCAGGGAGAGCATGCAATGGGGGTGAGAATAGCCACATGGGGCATTGCTGAGCTGCTCATTTCTGAGCTCCTTGTTGCTGGCAGAAGAGGGAGAGACTATATTCTTCCATATATTTTAGGTTTGGGGCTCCTCTTTTTATATTCTTTCAGAGCTTTTTCAAAAATTCTTGCCTGTCTATAGCTATGGTTTTCTAATACTCTTATGAATTTCCTCTTGAAGAAGTCCTTATATTTCTGAGAATTGGAAATGGAAAGGGGACACAGGTGTCTCCATCTTTTTTTTTTCCTCCAGTGCAATTGCTCAAAATTTACCTTCAAGATTGTATAAGAATTCTCATTATTCCATATTCTTCCCAACTCTATATTTTTGAATCTTAAAATTTTGCTAGTCTTATGGGTGAAAACTGCCTTCTCCTAGTTTTAATTTAGACTCTCCTAATTACCAGTGGAGTTGAAGTTTTTAAAAATTTGTTTATTGGATGTTGGGATTCCTTCTTCTGAGGATTGCCTAGTCATTGCCTTAGCATGTTTTTATTGGGTGTTTGCCTTTTCCTTGTTGATTTGTCAGTTTTGAAAAGGTGTGTATTTGGATATTAATCCTTAGTTTGTTCTATGTAGGCAAAGACATTTTCCCAGTCTGTGGGTTCTTTTTTGATTCTGTTTATGCTATCTTTTGAAGAACCGAGTTTTTATATTTAATGGAGTGACACATCAATATTCTCCTTTATTATTTATGCTTTTTGTGTCTTGTTTAAGAGATCTTTATCTACTCTGAAGTCACAAATATATTCTCTATGCCTTTTATTAATAATCTAAAGATATTTTTCTTCTTTCTACATTTGAATCTTTGATCAACCTGGTATTAATTTTGGGGGTATCTCCATATTGATCCAGTCTCCTGAATAGTTCTTAAATGAAGAAATGGTATATGTTATTCCTGTTCATAAATATATAATCTATTTTTCACTTCCACTAGTTTTTAATATTTAATTTCCATAGGTCTAAAATATATTTCCTCTGAAAAATTAACTATTTATCTTTATTATCTGTTTTTAAAATAATTAATGCAAAAGAATGATTTTATTTAGCATATGGCAGAACATATATAAATAATGATGTAAAAAAACTAAGAATATTCACAGTTCACTAAAACCTATCTTGAGAATATGGCAGTAAAACTCATTCCTGCTGAAGAAGGTCATGCTGTGTTAACAAAAACCTCAATCTCAGTGGCTTACAGCAGTCATTTCTTGCTCACATTGTGTGTTGACAGCCACAGATCAGCTGCAAGTCTGCCCTGCATATCCTCCCATTTCAGTATGCAGACCGAAGTTGCAGCTCCTACTTGGGACATGCTTTTCTTATGACATAGGAAAAAGCATGAGAGTTAGTGGAAACACTCAATGGCTCCTAAAAGTTCTGCTCAGACATGATAATCTGCCCACTGCTTATGAGTCAATGACTAGAGCAAGTCACTTGACCAAGTCCAATGTCACAGGTGTGGGCATGCCTATTCCTCCCAAAGGGGACACTCACTGCAAGGCACAAGAATTGGGAATATTTGGGAAAAAGAATATATCCTACTACAGTGTTTTCCTCAGCTTTCAATTAACTTTCAAACTATAGCCAAAAATAAAAAAAACCTCCATCTATAAAGAATTATTCTAGCCTTTTCTTCACATAGTCTATATAGTATATATTAAAATTACATAGATTGCTTACCAATGAGTTAGGAAGATTACCATGGAAACAATACATATGAAGAAGTTAGGTTTTGCTCCTGTGTTGCAGATGCCTTGCAAATTATTTTAGTGCATGTGATGGTTAATTTTATGTGTCCACTTGAGTGGGCCAAGGCATGCCTGAATTAAACATTGCTTTTCGGTATGTCTGTGAGGGTGTTTTTAGATGATAATAGTATTTGAATTGGTGAATTCAGTAAGGTAGCTTGCCTTCTTCAGTGTGGTTTGACACTATCTAATACCTTGAGGGCCTGAATAGAAAGAAAAGCAGAGGAAGGAGGAGTTGGCCCTTTTATTCCTGCCTCACTCATCTCATCTTATGCCCTCCAACCAAGAGACTTACACTAGAGACTTCCCTCATTCTCAGGCCTTTAGACTCAAATATATATATATATACATAAATTTATTTTTATATATAATATATTAATAATATATAAAAAATATAAATAATCACTATCAGGTGTTTTGTTTGCTTAAATATCTTTTTACTTGTTTTCATAATAGTTTAGCTATTATTATAGCTTAATAACTTACATCTAAATATCTTACATTTAGCTAATAATTACTTATTATTTATTAGGCATAAAATTCCAGGTTGACAGATATTTTATATAATTTAAAAATATTACCCCATCTTCTGGATTCTGTTATTGATGTTGAGAAGTTGCTTTCCATCTAACTTTCATTTTAATTAAAGTAGTCTCTTTTCTTTTAGCTAGTTCTTCATATCTTCTCTTTGTGGTTTGTGTTCTCTAGTATTAGTGGGTTTTGTCCAGTTGTGGATTTCTTTTTTGCTTTACTTTTTAATCTGTTTTGCATCTGAATTTGCAGGTCATGTCTTTCTAAATTCTGAAAATTCTCATTATTATCTCTTTGAATTCTGCCTCTTCTCTAATCTCTTCTCTTCACAGTGTCTATTAGGTGTTTATTGGACTTTCACATTCTATTCTCCATTTCTATGACCTCTAGGGATCCATTTCCACATATATTAAAACTTTTAAACCATAGTTCACATGATGTCTTACATTCTTTTCTGTTTCTCAGACTTTTTATGTATGTGTTCCTCATTCTGAATATTCTTAACCATTATTCCAGTTTCTAAATCCTCTCTTTGATGGTGTCTAATCTGCTTCACTTTCATATCTACTGAATTCTTAATTTTATAATTCTAATGATTCTTTAATTTTAGTAATTATATTAGTTTTAATTCTAGATTTCCATTCAATTATTTTCTAAATGTATATGGAATCTAATTCTACAGTGAAAGTCTCCATTATATCAGTTTCTTGAACATATTAATCATAGTTACCTTTAAGTCCTTATCCAATAATTCCAAAAATGGGTCACCTTTGGATTGGTATTTTTTTTTCTTTTAGCTTTTGGTCATTTGGACTTTTCTCTTTTCATGTTTGGTGGGTTTTGAGTGAATGCTAGACAATATATATGAAATAGTGTAGAAATGGTGTATGGTATTATGTTCCTCTGGAGAGGATTTAATTTTTTCTGGTAGTAGTTACAGGAGGGGCAGATTACCTTGATCTAATCAGGAACTGAGATAGTTTAAGGCTACTTTTAGACTTTGTGAGAGTTGGTCTATTTCCAGTTTGCCTTTATTTCTAAGCAGTAGTTCTTCAGCGTTTCCACCTGAAAGCTCTAGTTATTTTCCAGGAAACTTCCTCATATCTGTGAATCTACTGAAAGCTCTCCTTAGTTTTTTAGAAAGCAGCTGCTTTCTTCTTTATGTCTTGCTTTTGAATAGCATAGGATTCAGCAAGTACTTCAGGGGCAAAAAACCATGCAGAATGTCAGACTCACTTGTTTTCTGTTCTCTTTTCTCTGGAAAATTTGCCCCTCATGTCCTGGCTGCTTTTGTGGCCCTGAACTATAATTTTGTCTTCTAAGCCCAGTGAAACTGCTGCAAGCTCAAGACCACAGCATTGTGCTTATGCCACATGCCATGAGAGGAAAGCACAGTGGAGAAGGTTTGGCTACCTCAGTGCACCTCCCTTTTCTCCTGGGCCTGTGGCTCCTCGTGTGCTGCCTGCCTTGGTTTGTTTTAGCTGATCTCTGATACCTTCAAAGAACTGGGTGTTTAAAATTGTTTATCCAGATTTTATGTTGTTTAAATTTTTCAGTGTACTCTGTACAATTGTGGGAGGTGGGAGATTTACTGTGATATAAGCTTACTCAATCATAGTTGGAAGCTGAGGTTTTATTTGTGACTTTTTAATTTCAATAATTACCCTTTTCTCCTAGAAATTCAATTTGGTTGTTTCTCAAATAAGCATCTTTTTTTTATAGTACCCCATTTCTGTCTTGTATTTTCTATTCCTTTCTTTATGATTTTAATCATTAAAAATATATTTATTTAATAGTTTGAAACCTATTAGATTATCTGAAATTCTCAGGGGTGTAATTTCATTAGATGTTGTCTGCTGACTCTTAGTTTGCATTTCAAGGGGATTTTGGAGTTTCTCGACTCCTAATGGGCTCTCCTATGATCTAGCCACTACTCTAACATGAGTCCGGAGGCTCTGAAACACCAAGGCTGCAACACCAAGTCAGACATCTGGTGAGTGGGCAGTGGGCTGCTTGGAACGACTTGGCTGCTGTCCTAAGAGAACAATGCATTTTGTTTTTCAGCTCGTTTGCTTTCCACATCTACTTACTGTATCCCTTTCAAATATGAGTCATTCTGTGACCAGAGTAAAAGAAGTTCTTTTGAATTTGGAACTTGATATAGTCCATTAAGTTGGTTTTAAAAATTCTCTTTACTCATAGATTAATTGGTTTGTTTGTTTTTTTCTTCTTGAACCACAAGGGAAAGTTTGTAATATATCATAAATATTTAATTTTGATGGGTTTTTGCTAGCCTATTAAATAAAGCATTTGCAATCCTAAACACTGTGCTTTATTTTTGTATTTTTCATTTTTGAAATTAAGGTATCATTCATACACATTCTTATGCAGGTTTCACATAAACAACACTGTGCTTACTACATTCACATGTTATCAAGTACCCCCCCACCCCATTGCAGTCACTGTCCATCAGCATAGTAAGATGTCACAGAGTCACTACTTGTCTTCTCTGTGCTACACTGTCTTCCCTGTGACCCCACACACACCATGTGTGTCAATCATAATGCCCCTCATCCCCTCCCCACTCCTTCCCACCCTTTGTCCACCAACCTCTCCCCTTTGGTAACCTCCAGTCCCTTCTCAGTGTATGTGAATCTGCTGTTGTTTTGTTCCTTCAGTTTTGCTTTGTTGTCATACTCCATAAATGAGTGAAATCATTTGGTTCTTGTCTTTCTCCATCAGGCTTATTTCACTGAGCATAATACCCTCTAGCTCCATCCATGTTGTTCCAAATGGTAGGATTTGTTTTCTTCTTATGGCTGAATAATATTCCATTGTGTATATGTACCACATCTTCTTTATCCATTCATCTACTGATGGACACTTAAGTTGCTCCCAGACCTTTGCTGTTGCAAAAAGTGCGGCAGTAAACATAGGGGTGCATATATCATTTTGAATCAGGGATGTTTTTTTCCTCTGGTAAATTCCTAGGAGTGGAATTAATAGGTCAAATGGTATTAACATTTTTAGTTTTTTGAGGACCTTCCATACTGCTTACCACAGCAGTCATACCAATTTACATTCCCACCAACAGCATAGGAGGGTTCCCCTTTCTTCTCATCATTGCCAGCATTTGTTGTTTCTTGACTTTTGGATGTTGGCCATTCTAACTGGTGTGAAGTGATATCTCATTGTGGTTTTAATTTGAATTTCTCTGATAATTAGCAATGTAGAGCATCTTTTCATGTGCCTGTTGGCATCTGAATTTCTTCTTTGGAGAAGTGTCTGTTCAGATCCTCTGCCCATTTTTTAATCAGGTTATTTGCTTTTTGGGTGTTAAGGCATGTGAGTTTTTTATATATTTTGGATGTTAGCCCTTTGTCAGATATGTCATTTACAAATATAATCTCCCATACTGTAGGATGCCTTTTTGTTCTACTGATGGTCTCCTTTCCTATACAGAAGTTTTTTGGTTTGACGTAGTCATATTTATTCATTTTTGCTTTTGTTTCCCTCGGCCAAGGAGATGCATTCAGAAAAAGTTGCTCATGTTTATATCCAAGAGAGTTTTACCTATGTTTTCTTCTAAGAGTTTTATGGTTTCATGACTTACATTCAGGTCTTTGATCCATTTTGAATTTACTTATGTGTATGGAGTTAGACAATAATCCAGTTTCATTCTATTACATGTAATTGCCCAGTTTGCCAACACCAGTTGTTGAAGAGGCTGTCATTTGCTCATTGTATATCCATGGCTTCTTTTTCATATATTAATTGACCATATATGCTTGGGTTTATATCTGGGCTCTCTATCCTGTTCCATTGCTATGGTTCTGTTCTTGTGCCAGTACCAAACTGTCTTGATTACTGTGGCTTTGTAGTAGAGCTTGAAGTCAGGGAGCATAATCCACCTAGCTTTGTTCTTCCTTCTCAGGATTACTTTGGCTATTTGGGGTCTTTTGTGGTTCCATGTGTATTTTAGAATTACTTTTTCTAGTTCGTTGAAGAATCCTGTTGGTATATTGACAGGGATTGCACAGAATCTATAGATTGCTTTAGGCAGGATGGCCATTTTGACAGTATTAATTCTTCCTATCCATGAGCATGGGATAGATTTCCATTTATTGGTGTCTTATTTAATTTGTCTGAGTGTCTTGTAGTTTTCAGGGTATAGGTCTTTCACCTCCTTGGTTAGGTTTCTTCCTAAGTATTTTATTCTTTTGATGCAATTGTTAATGGTATTGTTTTCCTGCTTTCTCTTTCTGCTAGTTCATTGTTAGTGTGTAGGAATGCAACAGATGTCGGTGTATTAACTTTGTATCCTGCAACTTTGCTGAATCAGGTATTAGTTCTAGTAGTTTTGGGGTGTATTCTTTAGGGTTTTTTATGTACAATTCATGTCATCTGAAAATAGTGACACTTTAACTTCTTCCTTACCAATATGGATCCCTTTATTTCTTTGTGTTGTCTGATTGCCATGGCTAGGACCTCCAGTACTATGTTGTATAAAAGTGGTGAGAGTGGGCATCTTTGTCTTGTCCTGATCTTAAAAGAAAAGCTTTCAGCTTCTTGCTGTTATGTATGATGTTGGCTGTGGGTTTGTCATATATGGCCTTTATTATGTTGAGGTACTTGCCCTCTTTACCCACTTTGTTGAGAGTTTTCATCATGACTGGATGTTGAATTTTGTCAAAAACCTTTTCAGTACCTATGGAGATGATCATGTGACTTTTGTCCTTCTTTTTGTTGATGTGGTGTATGATGTTGATGGATTTTCAAATATTGTACCATCCCTGCATCCCTGGAATAAATTCTACTTGACCATGATGAATGATCTTTCTGATGTATTTTTGAAATCAGTTTGCAAATATTTTGTTCAGTGTTTTTGCATCTATGTTCACCAGGGATATTGGTCTTTCATTTTCTTTTCTTCTGGTGTCTTTGCCTGGTTTTGGTGTTAGAGTGATCCTTGCCTCATAGAATGAGTTTGGAAGTATTCCCTCCTCTTCTACTTTTTGGAAAACTTTAAGGAGGATGGATGTTAGGTCTTCACTGCATGTTTGATAAAATTCAGCAGTGAAGGCATCTGGACCAGGAGTTTTATTCTCAGGTAGTTTTTTGATTATCAGTTCAATTTGGTTGCTAGTAATTGCTCTGTTCAGATTTCTGTTTCTTCCTAGGTCAGTCTTGGCAGGTTGTATTTTTCTAGAAAGTTGTCCATTTCTACTAGGTTATCCAATTTGTTAGCTTATAATTTTTCATAGTATTCTCTAATAATTCTTTGTATTTCTGTGGTGTCCGTAATAATTATTCCTCTCTCATCTCTGATTCTGTTTATGTGTGTAGTATTTCTTTTTTTCTTGATAAGTCTGGCTAGGGTTTTATCTATTTTGTTAATTTTCTCAAAGAACTGGCTCCTGGTTTCATTGATTCTTTTTATTATTTATTTCTGCTCTAATCTTTTTTATGTCCCTCCTTCTACTGACATTGGGCCTCATTTGTTCTTCTTTTTCTAGTTTCAATAATTGTGAGTTTAGACTGTTCATATGGGATTTTTCTTCTTTCCTGAGGTAGGCCTGTGTTGCAGTATACTTCCCTCTTAGCTCAGCCTTTGCTACATCCCACAGATTTTGCTGTGTTGACTTATTATCATTTATCTCCATATATTGCTTCATTTCTGTTTTTATTTGGTCATTGATCCATTGATTATTTAGGAACATGAAATACTATGAAAATATGTCTGTGGGCTTTTTTGTTTTCTTTGCATAATTTATTTGTACTTCCATACCTTTGTGGTCAAAGAAGCTGGTCGGTGCAATTTCAATCCTTCTGAATTTACTGATACTCTTTTTGTGGCCTAGAATATGATCTCTTCTTGAAAATATTCCACATGCACTTAAGAGGAATGTGTATCCTGCTGATATTTGGTGGGGAGTTCTGTAGATGTCTGCTAGGTGCATCTGTTCTAATGTGTTGTTCAGTGCCTCTTTTTCCTTACTTGTTTTCTGTCTAGTTAATCTGTCCTTTGGAGTGAGTGGTGTGTTGAAGTCTCCTAAAATGAATGCATTGCATTCTATTTCCACCTTTAATTCTCTTAGTATTTGTTTCACAAATACAGGTATTCCTATGTTGGGTGCATAAATATTTATAATGGTTATGTCCTCTTGTTGGACTGACCCTTTTATCATTATGTAATGTCCTTCTTTGTCTCTTGTTATTGTCTTTGCTTTGAAATCTATTTTGTCTGATACAAGTACTGCAACTCCTGCTTTATTCTCCCTATTATTTGCATGAAATATCTTTCCCCATCCCTTTACTTTTAGTCTGTGTATGTCTTTGGGTTTGAAGTGAGTCTCTTATACGCAGCATATAGATGGGTCTTGTTTTTTTTATACATTCTGTGACTATGTCTTTTGACTGGTGCATTCAATCCATTTACATTTAGGGTGATTATCAATAGGTATGTACTTATTGCAACTGCAGGCTTTAAATTCATGGTTGCCAAAGGTTCAAGGGTAGCTTCTTTGCTATCTAACAGTCTAAAAGACAATCTAAAGGTTCTGTTTTTCCCCCTCCCTTTTCTTCTTCCTTCTCCATTCCTTATATAGTAGGTATCATATTCTGTACTCATTGTCTGTCTCTTGACTGACTTTTGGAATAGTTGGTTTAATTTTGCATTTGCTTAGTAATTAATTGGTCATCTTCCTTTACTGTGATTTTTTTTCTCTGGTAATAGCTAGTTAGCCTTAGGAGAACTTTCATCTATAGCAGACCCTCCAAAATACAGTATAGAGACAGTTTATGGGATGTAAATTCTCTCAACTTTTGTTTATCTGGAAATTGTTTAATACCTGCTTCAAATTTAAATGATAATCTTGCTAGGTAGAATATTCTTGGTTTGAGGCCCTTCTGCTTCATTTCATTGAATACATCATGCCCCTCCCTTCTGACCTGTAAGGTTTATTTTGATAAGTCTGATGATGGCTTGAGGAG